GCCATGTTCATAACATTGTGCTCTTCTCCCAGTGAAAAGGAAAATAAATCAAAATGTACTGTATCAATACAGTAGCAATAAAAGCAATGACTTGTGGGTACATGCTTGACGTAGATGACCCTCAAAAAACATTGTGCTCAGTAAAGGAAGCCCGATGCAAGAGGCAACTCCATTTGTATGAAATATCCACAGAAGGCAAATCTATATACAGAAAGACCGGGTCCAGAGATATAGCTGGGAATTCCTCAAGAAACCTTGCCTGGGGTGGCCCCTGACCTGACTCCTGTGTGCAGGGTCAGCCAGTGCAGGGACAGATTCAGTCAGTCACCTGCACCAGCCAACGCATGTACCAGTGGATGCAGCTGCCTAGTTAGTTCTACCTGAGCCCCATCTCTCACATGAACCATTGTGTGGTTCATGTGAGAGATGAACCAGACCAATCAGATTGCCAGGTCTGGTCCTTACCCATACCAGCAGGTGCTGTAGCCTAGTCTGGATGACCCCAACCAGGCCCACAGCCCAGCCCCTTTTTACATGTGCTAGCTTCTGCTGTGGCCTGGTCTGGTCCAGTTTGCATCTTGCCCTCATGCATAGCCATGGGTGCTGCAGCTTAACTCAGCCCACACATATACCACACACGTGATCTTACCCAAAAGGCTGAGAAGCGATAACCACACATATACCAACAAATGTCACTGCCTTGTCCAGCCTGGACTATACCCAGCCCTGGTTCTCATGCTCACCAATAGTAGGTACAACCTAGAAGATAAGTGCCCAGAATTCTCTTGCCAGGCTCCCGGCCCTGGATCTTGTACCTGCTTGGGGTACTACCACAGTCTAGTTTGACACGACTCACACCTAATGCTGGCACTTGCCAGCTGGCATTGCAGCCTAACCCAGCTGGCCCACATTCATTCTGGCTCTCTAACACACCAGTGGGTAAGGCAGCCTAGTCCAGCCTGCCCACCCCCCCCTCCACCAACTCAGCTCAAACGCTAGCTGATGGGTGCTGTAGCCCTGTCTGGATTGGCCCACCTCCAGCCCTAGCTATCATGCTCACCCATGGAAGTGGCAGCCCAGCAGGGGAGTCTTTGAGGATCTCCTACTAGGCCTGCTCCCAGTCCTGCGTCTTGTGTGTGCTAGTGGGTGCTGAGGCCCAGTCTGAGACGGCCTGACACCCACCCCCATCTTGGCATTTGCCAGCAGGTGATGCAGCCAGGCTCAGCCCAGGCTGCCCCCAGTCCAGCTCTTGCCAGCGGGTACAGCAGCCCAGCCCAGCCTGCCCACTCCTATCCCCAGCCCTCATGTGAACTGGCAAATATTGCAGTCCAAACTGGCCTGGTCTGCACCCCTATCCTGGCTCTCACTTGTGCCAGTGTGTGCTGTGGACTGATACTGTCTGGCCTACCCTAGTCCTGCCTCACACATATGCCACCAGGTGATATAGCCTAGCTTGGTCTGGCCTGCTGCCAGCCCAGCTCTTGCACTTACCAGTGGGAGCTATAGCCCAGCAAGGGAGTCCCAAGTTGCCCTACCATGCCCAGCCCTGGATCTCACATGTGTAGGTGGGTGCTATTGCTCTGATTGACATGTCCAGTCCCCAGTACTGGACAGTGGGTACTGCAGTCTAGAGTGACTGGCCTTCACCTATTCTGGCTCTCACCATTGGATACTACAGTCTATTCCAGCTTGGCCCACCCCCAGACCGGGTTCTCATGTGAACTGGCAGGTGCTGAGGCCTAGCCTGGCCTGTTTCATACTCATTCTGGCTCTTGCAATCACCAGCAAGTGCTGAAGCCCAACTTAGTCTGACCCGCTCCCAGACCCAGCCCACATGCTGATGGATACTGCAGCCTTGCCCAGCCTGGTCTGCCCACAGCCCTGGCTCTTGGCACTCACCAATAGGAGCTACAGACCTGTGGGAGGGTCCCCAGAGTTCCCCCACCAGGCCCATTCCCAGCCATGGGGGACTTGTGCATGCTGGCAGGTGCTTTGACTCAGCCTGGCACGGCCTTCCTACACTCTCAGCTCTCACTGGTGAGTATTGCAGCTTAGCCCACTTGGGCATGGCCCACATCCTGTCCTGGCTCTCATGTGTGCCAGTGGGTGTATGGCCTGACCCAGGCAGCCTGTCCCCAAACCTGGCCTACACAGACACTGAGGAGTGCTGCAGCATTGCCTTGCCTAGCCTGCCCCAAGCCCAGGCTCTCTTGCTCCCCAGAGGGAGTTGTGGTCTAGAAGGAAAGTTCCCCAAGTTTCCCTACCAGGCTTGCTCCCAGCCCTGGATCTCATATATGCTGGTGGATACCGTGGCCATGCTTGGCATGGTCTGATCTCAGTCCCAGCCTTTGCATATGCTGGCAGTACTGCAATTGGTCCTGCCAGGCCTCCTCCCAGCTCCAGTTCCCCCAAGTGTCAGATGAGTTCTTGTCAATTTTGTAGTCCAACCCGTCTCAGCCCATCCTAACTCAACTGTCCTGTGCAAACCTATGGGTGCTGCAGTCCTACAGAGGTGAGTCCACAAGTCCCCTACAGAATCTGCCCCCAAATCCAGTTCTTTCATGTTCTTGTGGGTGCTGCCTGACATGGCCCACCTCCTGCTCTGGGAAGATGCCATTGCCTAGTCCAGCAAGGTATGCCCCCTCCCCAGTCCCAGCTTTAGCATGTACTGGTGGACAGTAGGTTACGCTATTTAGCCTGGCCCAGGTATCCCACATGGGCAGTTTCTTGGCCTGACCCAAATATGCCCTATAGTTTTCCCTATCTAAGCCATTCCCTCTAAGCCCCCTTGCAGTGGCCAGTGGCCCAGTCCACGGAAGACCCCAGAAGTCATTCTTTTCCTATCATACATGCCCTCAGCCACTCACACTCCAATATGTTCCCAGACCTTTTTCCCCAGGCAATCTGTAGTACTGTCTGCCTTGGGCCAAGGGTGGCATATCCAGGCCTGGAGTTCTGTGCCTTTTCCACATATCTTTTTTAAAAAATCTGAAAAAAATAAGCAACTATGCTGGCATACTGGTATACATAACACAAATTTAGCATTAACCAGTCCCAGAATGCCCACCAGCCATTGGCTGATATTTTTTTCAGCAGTGTAACATTTGCCTAGGCACAAGGAAAAATGTTTTTGTTTGTTTGTTTGTTTTAAAGGAAGTAGGTCTACAGTTGGCTGGAAAGTAGATGGTGTGGGAAGGTGGGGAGAGGTGAGGGGATTCACTCCAAATGGACATGAGGTATCCTAGTGCAGTGATGATGAGAGTCTTCTCAAACATACTTAGGGTGGTAGTTGTATAACCTGAAGAACTGACTAAAATAGACATAAAATGAAAAGGGCGAAACAGATGATCCAAAATACGTTTCAACAAAGTTTGAGACTAAGAGAGCAGGGAAAAGCACCTGTCAGCATTAGGAAATTTGTGGGGTCAGCTGAGATGAACCCCACCCCTGGCACAAACTGGCACCTCACAAGAATGAACAAAGGTCTGTGGCCTTTCTTATGGTCTCTGACTTTGGTGACCATGTGTCCTGCAGAAGTCAGAGCTTCTATTCACAGCTCAGGAATCAGAGATGCTGACAGAGAGGATCGGAAGGGGTGGGGTGGGGAGAAGAAATGGAGGTCTTGCTTCTGCTTCCAACAGGCAAATCAGATCAGCAAGAGCATGTGTGAGTTACCACGTGGCTTCCCTTTCCCCTTCCAGATCTCTTAGGAATCTCCCTTGTGGCCCACCCTAACCAGAAACACACAAGAAAATGAATTCTGAGAGGTAGGTCGGCCTAGCCAAATTGGCCCATTATGAAGCCATAATGTTCTTTAATGGTTATGTCTTGCAGATTCCCCTGTCTCTTGTCACTCAGCTTTAGTAAATTACATTTTCTCTTAGGCAATTGTGCATTCTCCTAGTTTTAAAAATTATTGCCATAAAATTCTTCACAGTATTGTTTGTTTTTCTTACTATTTTCTGGTGGCTCTAGTTACACTAACTTTTTAATTCATTTGTTGATAGGGTTATATTTTTAATCCTGGTTTCTAGTTTAGTTGTATTAAGAGCAGAGAATATGTTTGCTATTGATTCTTATTAGTATTTGAGATATGTTTTGTGGTTTAATACATGGTCGATTTTTATAACTGTCCCGTATGTACTTGGAAAGGATGCACATTCTCTAAAATTAAATATCTGTATATGTACATGTACCCTTACATACATACACACATGTATGTACTGAGGAAACTTTACAATACATGTATGTATTGAGGAAACTTTTCAAAGTTGAAAAAAATGGATTAAAAGATAAGCCTATTTTCATACAAAAAAGCTTTTTAAATCCATGCATGATTTTATAATACACATTTTCTTTATATGCAAGGATTCCTAAATTTTTTTGTACCAAAATACATTTTAATTTCATTTTCCATGACCCTTTTGAATTTCTCTCCTATCTACACATATATGCCCCATCAGGTGGATTAAGTGTGTTGTCCAATCTTCTATAAACTAATTTTTCATTTACATGATCAGTTATGACAGAGATATAAAAATCTATCAATTTAGCCTGATAACCTGTAACAATTTTTATAATATAGAATTTGAGGCTCTGTTATTAGATGTATATAAGTTTATAATTTGTATCTTTCTAGTGAATTATTCCTTTTAACATCCCTAATGATATTTTGTGGTCTTAAAGCCTATCCTGTCTGATTTTAAGATTGTTATAGTTTTAATTATGCTTTTTTAAATATAAAAAATTCATAAAACAATTTATAATTTTTTAAATGGGTTCTATTTTATCCATTATTTTTAGTGTAACAGGCAGGCTGATAGGATATCTATTCCAGCTTATTAGTAGATTGTAAGCTTCTTAAACTTAAAAGGAAAAAAAATGGAAATCTATACTTACCCTTAAATAGAAATTTCTTGTTTGATATATGCAAGCAGAATTACACAGTGTATAACCAAGGCACAGCTCAGCACTGAAGGTGCCAAACCATGGGAATTGTAGGGCTCAATTCAACTGCATTCACCCTATGATTCCACCAGACATGACCACAAAATAGGCTTTTCCAAACAATGTTTCCACAGCTTCCCATAAGAACCTGACATGGCACCTATCCTTGAAGGCTGATAGCCTGCCAACTGAGGATTACTAGTTTAAAGAATCTCCACAGATTACAGTTTGAGGGTGGGAACAGTTTATTCCATTTGACAGTCGAATGTATCTCTTTTACGCTCATGCACAGATGTTGCTCTTAGTTGTTTTGCCTGATGCTTAATGGATTTCAGTATTCTTTCAAACTGCTATAGCTACCTGGTTAGGTGGTGCACAACAAACTCTAGGCTTGAACCCAGTTTTTCAGCGGCTTTGTGTAGGTGCTAACACCAGATTTCTATTAGCTGATGTTTAACCTGGTCTTAACAAATAACAGCTTTCTAGGCACTTCCAGTACCCAGCTGGATTGTGCATCTGCTTGGCATGAATTGGGGACTATCTTACTGTTGGCGATGAATCTGTAGGGTCTTGGAAAACACTGTTTTTGTGGGTTTGGGTCCAGCTGTTTGTTAGGAGTCCAAGGGAATGTCTCAGGACATTTCAGCTACATTGGATGTCTAAGTTTTTAACCTTTAAGTTTATGCACTACATAGAATGCCTTTAAAAATTCATTGAAATCAATGCTTCCATCCTTGTTTAAGTCCATGGTGTTGGCGAGCTCATTAAGTTGGCAATCATCGATGTGGACATTATAGTGAGAACTAAAGAGATTCCACATGGCCTGAAATTCTTCCATGGATATGAAGCCTAAAAAAATGCAGGAGAAGGTTGTTGAGTGTTCATTTTGAGAGTAAGTGGGGGTGTAAGGCAGGCACAGTGATGGAGCAGTCCCAATTAGACACCCTCCAGCATGCCTGAGCATCACGACACTGAAGGCATGGGGGAGTGAGCCCAGAAATGTGAGAAGCAACATGTCACTTTTGATTGCTTGGGTATCCTGAGATTATTCTAAAGCCAGAATGAGGGAGCAGTGAAGAAATAGGGAGGGAATCATGGATCATGGGGATTACGACATTCAAAATCTAAGGGTATGGGACATGGAAGAAGGACAAAAAGGAGAGAAACATCAGAAACAAGGGAGAGGAACAGGAGTTGGTAAGAGGGTTACAAACAATGGCACAGCCTGCTATACAGTCAACAATTGAATTCATGTAGTTAGTACTCATTTTTGGGTGTTTAAAGGTCTCTCCAGTGAGGATTCCGTGACAGTTTTTTTTTTTTTTACACGTGAAAGTAATTGTGTATCAAAGCTAAACAAAAACTGAGTCTTCATAGCCCCTAATTCCCCAAATCATCAGACCTCTAGAAATGATTTTGATTGCCAACAGTAACTAAGATCAACAGATCAGCAAGTTCTCTTTGTTTCTGGGCCAGTGATTTACAGAAGGAGCCATTCCAGTTTGACTCAAGGCTCTGTAAGGGCTCTATAGTTAGCAATACAGAGTTTACAATCACACTAAAATAATAGCAATATTAAACCCAAGTTTTTTCCATTGAATTTCATGAAGCATGGGTGAAGAAGCAAAATGGATTTCAGAGAAACAGACCAACCTCTCTGCTTTCTATTATGACTGACCAGAGTTCACTTACCTGAATGATCAGTGTCAATGATATTAAATATGATTTGCAGTTCGGATCTGTATCGGTACAGAGTTTCAATTACATTGGATTGAGCCTAAAACAAAGATTTTTGTCATGTTAAACGTAGGATGAATAACATAAATCAATTTAAACAATTGTAATAATACAGCACATCACCACCAATTCAAATTATGTGATTTAAATAGACATTTGAGAAGGTTCTACCCTCTTTAATCAGATAAAACACATTTGCTGGGGGTTGAGGGGGGAGACGTTGGTAATTCAGGCAGCAGTCAGTGATAACCACCAACATTCACAGAGAGCTTTAAGTAAATTACTTCATTAAGTACTGCATAATCAGAGAATAGGAATGGAAGCACCATTGCTTTCATTTTCTAGATTAGACAGCAGGGAGATGAAGGGTCCCACAGCTGGCTAGTAGGATTGGAATTTCAGATCCCTGAAGTCCTCGCCTATGAACTTCATCACAGCAATCAGCTGCCTCAGGAGTGAGGTCCAAAGCTCCTCAGGAATCTTCTAGTCTCCAGTGTAGATCCTCACTTCCCTTCTCGCTGCTCCTCACATCTCTCCCCTGCCAACAGCCACCGACCTCCTCGTTCCAATAGGATTAATTACTGATGTGTTAACTAACAGGTACTGGGATCCAATAACTCTCCCTTTTGAATAAAGGCTTTTGCACTTTGAAAAAAAAATATTTATTTGAAAGAGCTATATATAGAGAGAATCTCCCATGTACTGGCTCACTTCCCAAAAGGCCACAATGGTCAGTGCTGAGCCAGCCCAAACCAGGAGATTGGAATTCCATCCAAGTCTTCCACATTGGTACAGGATACTAAGCACTTGGGCTTCCTTTACTGCTTTCTCTGTCACATTAGCCAGCAGGTAGATCAGAAATGGAGCAGCTAGGACACAAACCGAAGCTCATATGGGATGCTGGTATTGCAGGCTACAATGCCAGTTCCAGTATTTTGCATTTTAAAAATCGTTAAGGCACATTGTGAATCATGTAAGCAAGTCTATATTCAAAATTTAACAGAGGATAACAGTAAGTATTTAAATGGTGTTTTATAGAGAAGAATGAATGTTTGCTAGACTGTATTTAAAATAAGAATCCCATTTGGAGGTGGTTTCACTTATATTCTTTTGGCTTGTCCTTAGTTTGCACAAATTTCCTGACTGGATCACAAAGTACTAGGGTGGAAAGAGATGAAGGGGAGTCCCTCCAGCCTTTCCTAAGGCCACAATCGCTGTCCATTAAATGATCCACTCCTCATTTTTCAAACGATGCAGTTACTCTTACATGTTGGGCAAGGGGTGTTTTGCCCAGCAATGTTTGAACTGGGACTACATCTCACTTACCTCTTTAACAGGTTTTTCAATGTGGATATCCTGGAAGCTTGACATGTAGTCAATGTCCCCATTTTTGTCTGTTTTTACCAGATGGTTACTCAAGGATCGCCATGGTAAATTCAGTCCCAAAACATTCTCCATAGAAAAAGCCCACTGGGTTGTTGAAATTTTTCCTAATAATGACAAATAAGTCCACATAGTTTGTTAATCATTTGATTTTTCAAAGAATATAAGCTCCTTGGCAGAGCCAGTGGGCAGCCTAAGGTATCCCAGCAGGCCCCACTGCCCTAAGGGAGAACTAAGTAGCTATATTTTTTTCCCTTTTCTGATGAACAATATAAGGTATGCTTATTGTGCAAGATTTGAGCACATAAATTAATACAAAGCACAAAGGATTTGCTTTTGCTTTTAATACTTGGCTGTATTTTTCATCTGCCATTTCCCAGCTAATACCCCTTGCACCATAATATTTTATATACTTTTTCAAAATATAAATATCTATTTTCTCTGATTATTTAAGTGTACTCATTTAAGTGACTTGAAATAAACAGAAAACAATATTACTTCTAGTTTTCTATATATCTAAGCATGTGATACATGTCTATTTTCTTTCTTAAAATATACACTATTTCGAGCATGTTTTATATAGATATTACATATGAAAACATGCACACATATATATTTACTTCAACCTGTTTTTTATCAGTAACTTATGAACATACATCTAGGATAATAAACATAGATTTATAAAATCATTTTCTGTCTTTTGCCTCAAATTATATTTTTAAAAAGATTTATTTATTTGAAAGGTAGAGCTACAAAGAGAAGAGAGAGAGAGAAAGAGACAGAGAGAGAAGTCTTCCATCTACTGTTTCACTCCCCCAAATGGCCACAATGGCCATGGCTGGACCATACCAAAACCAGGAGCCAGGAGTTTCTTCCAGGTCTCCCATACAGGTATAGGGGCTCAGGAATTTGGGCCATCCTCCACTGTTTTCCTAGGTACATTAGCAGGGAGTTGCATCAAAACTGGAGCAGCCAAGACTCAAACTGGTGTCCATACGGAATACTGGTGATACAGGTGGTGGCTTAATGCACTAAATAACGCAGGCCTTCAAAACCATATTTTTATAAAACATTTATTTATTCATTTCACTTATTTGAAAGGCAGAGAGAACAGAGAGAGAGAGAGAGAGCACGTGCCAACCATCCACTGATTCACTCTCTGAATGCCTGCTATAGCTAGGGCTAGGTCAGATCAGAGCCAGGTGGCAGGGACCATCATCTACTGCCCCATGTGCATTCACAGGGAGCTGGATAGGAAGGCTGAGAATTTCATTCCAGGCCCTGGGATACAGGATGCAGGTTTCCCAAGTGTCAGTGTAAGCCACGGCACAACAACACCAATGCCAACCCATATATCATCAGTTTCATGGCCATGAAGGAATTCCATTATTTCCTTTGGATTATTCCTAGAAGTGGAACTGCAAAATCAAAGGGTCTCAAGATTTTTAAGCCTTTGAATATTAATAGCCTCAGTAACCAGTGAGTCAGTGGGAGATGGGTTTCATGAAGCAGGTCCACTTTCCCTCTCACCCACCAAAATCTGTGGTTGCACAAGTCCCTTATAGGAAACATTGCAGTATTTGCAAGTAGCTTCATATCCTCCCATGTGCTTCAAATCATTTCTAGACTACTCACAACATATAATACAATGCAAAAGTTATGTAAAAAGTTACTATACTCTTTGTCAAGGGAAAATGACTCCCTTGACAAGTCTCTAAATATTTAGTACAGAGACAATTGTCTTTTCATAAGTATTTTTAATTCACGATTGGTTAAATCCAAGGATACAGAACCCACAGATATGGAGGGCTGATGACAATATCCAAAGATGCTTTATAATGTTCATGCAAAATGTGTATCAGAAAATTGCACAGAAAATTGCACAGATTTCAAAATGTTTTTGCACCAAAATAAACAAACATCTTTTCATTCCATTCCTCATGAACTTTTTGAAATACCCCCATATATTCCTTGAGAGGTTACTTCTATTATTAGAGCAATTCCAGCTTTGTATTTTGTGATGATTTTCATGATTTGCCTTTCTCTAAACACAACTGCTAAGAAGTTGCTCAATCTCACTGTTGTGTCTTTGCAGCGATTCGTGTGTCTTTAGGCTATCGGTGCTCTGGAGTTTTTCCACAAGTGTGGACAGGTATGGATTTAATTTTATTTATTCTGCTTGTCAATCATTATTCCTTTTTATTTTTGAATTTGAGTTTTTCACCAAATTCATCAAAGTTTTTCATCAACCCCATTAGCCCATCAGATATAGCCCTTCTTACATTCTATTCTCTTTCTCATGCTCTCATTAAACAGAGCTTTATGCTAAACTCTAGAGCAGTATTTAGGCTTCTCTATAACTCACCCATTATATTTTTAACAAGTGTATTTTTAAATCCATTTGATTCTTCCTCAAATCATTTTCTAGTGCCTGTTTGCAATTCCATTTTTTATTTCTTTAAAATTTCTTACTTATTTTATATTTTGCATTTGAAAATTACAATATCTGGTCTCCTTGGGGGAAGTGTTCATTTTTATCTCATTCATAATAGTTTATTTTCTTGCTTGTTTGGTCATCTTTGGTTGTAGGCTCTTGTTGGCTGATCTTATTCTCTGGATATAGTCGTGGTCAAATTAGGAGTATTTCCTTTGAAGATGGTTTGACACTTGCTTGTCAGGAGTTAGGGAGCATTACAGACCTAGGACTAACCTCAAAGTCAGCTTTTCATCATTCTCCCACATCCCTCCAGGACAATTCAGCCCTTTGTGCTTGCCTGCTGCTGCTTGCTCCCACCTGTGGCTCCAAATCACTTTTTACACATAGTAGATGGACAATTCATAGATGTACATTGTTGTGAGGTTGACAAATGCATTCAAATTATGCACCCTCCAGAACCAACCAGCTTCTAAATAGGAGGTTTCCCTGCCCCAGGAGTATCCATTGTGACACACTACCAGAATAGACGTCTAATTAGGGCTTTTTTGAAAGTTGAGAAATGCTATTTGAAAAAAAAAATAAGCCCTTTGTCCTGAGCAGAATAAAAAAATTACATTTTCTTTTCATCTGTCACTTCCTTTCTAGAAAAAAAAAAGGAGAACTGAAACGGAAACAAAGGGAAGAAAAATGAGCTGTAGCCTGTTATGTCAGTAAGTGGTAAGCATTATGCAATTCTATTACCTGATCTACTGTGGTCTTGAAGTTGGAAGGCATGGATGAGGTCAGTTTTTCGTCCAATTATTCTCTCTTTTAATATCTTAATGGCACTGCTTTCAATAGTGTACACCCTGTGTTACAGAAATAATCATTAGTAAAAATTATACCAGACATTCTGTCCTGATCCATTTTAATGTGCTGTTAGCAGTTTGCAGTCTCTGGTTTAAATGAATTGCCTAAATTCCCACAAACTGTGTTAGCAGATAGTGAGTGCATACATATGTGTATATGCTTGTTCACATTTATGAAACTTTAAAAGGATAAGTAGTGTTTTCATTTGGGTTTTGAGGTTCACATGAATAATTATTTGAAAACGAAGGAAAATAAAGAAGGACTTGCTACACTAGATAAGAAAATTCATCATTAAGTTACTGAAACAAAATAACAGATACTGACATGAGAGGAGACTGATACACAAATAGAACATAAGTTTCATAAATATGTCTAGTGATGTAAGGCAACAACACATGTGACAACAGTGGTATTACAATATAATAGAAAAGGATAATTTTAAAAATTGGTGCTAGCATACTTAGCTAATCACCAGAACTTAGAAACTTCTGCCTCATACCACTTACACAAATAAATTTGAAATGAAACAGGAACACAGGAATAAGATAGTCATAACTTCTATATTATCCTTCAGAATCAGAGGATGGCATTCAGGACTCACCAAGGTTACTGCAATCCACAGGTGCTCAAGTCCCTTGTATAAAAGAACCTAGCATTCACATATAAGCTATGGATACTGTCTTGTGTAGTTTAATTTCTTAATGACCTTTGCTACCTAGTATCACATAGTGCTATATAAATAGCTATTACACTGCATTGTTTAGAAAATAATGAAAAAAAACCTGAGATGTTGAGTTCAGACACTATTTTTAAGTGTTTTCTGTTTTCAGTTAAGTCCATAGATTCATAACCTGTGAACGTGGAGGACCAGTTATACATTATACATATATACATATGTATGTGTAATTGTATATACATAAAGCAAAATGGCAGATATAAATCCATTCATATCAGTAATAACATCATACACAAATAGATTAAATAATCAAATTACAAGGTCAAGATTGTGACAATGTATAAACACAAAACAAAACAAGATCCAATTATATGTAATCTACAGGAGACACATTTTAGCTTTAAAGATCCAAAGAGACTGAAAGGAAAGGATAAATTTCAGGCAAATAACTCTGACAGCTACAGTGGCTATATTAACAGTAGACAAAATGGACTTTAGAGACATTTTTTTACAACAGAAAGGAAGAAAACCAAGGGGTGAGGGAAGCAAGCCTCCCAAAGAGGACTCAATCTCTAAAATGAAAGAAGGGCTGTCACTAACGGTCAAACAGAAATAAGAACAAATATAAGGAAATATTATGATCGTACACCAACAAATTAGACAATCCATAAAAATAGACAAACTCCAAGATAAACACAAATGATCATGATTTACTTAAGAAACAGAAAACTGAACATGCCTGGAACAAGTAAAAAGATTGATTATGTAATCAAACAGCTCACAAAGAAAGCCCAGGGTCAGATAGCTCCATTGGGGAATTCTATGAAATGTTTGATTTTTCTAAGAAATAAAAGAGGTGAGAATACTGATGAGAAGCCAATTGTACCCTGATGCTAAAATAAAAGATAAGAAAATTAGACATATTTCTCTTATAAATATATGAATATATATTATACATATATCATAAATATAAATGTAAAATCCTCAATAAAATACTAGAACACTATATGTAGGTACATGTAAAAAAGGATTGCACACCATCAGCAACAGCATTTATTCTAAAATAATGTTTTATGTAATATCCGAAATCAATCAGGGTTTTTGAATAAAGGAGAAAAATTATATGACCATCCCAATAGACGCAGAATAAAAGGTGTTAATCAAAATTCATCACTCACAAACTAAACATAGAAAGGAACTTCCTCAACCTTCTCAGGGCCATCTACCAAAAAATACCCAGCTAACTGCATCCTTAGTGGTCAAAGATTGAATACTCACCCCTTCCGAGCAGGAACAAGATACGGAGAACTGCGCTGATCACTTTTTTCAACACAGTACTGCACAATTTTAGCCATGGCAAATAGGCAAGGCAAAGCAAGACATGCATCCAAATGAAAAAAAAAGTGTAACTATTTCCATTAGGAGAAAATCTCTCTCTCCTTTTAAAGGATATTGCATATAGAAAACCCCTTTTAAAGGATATTGCATATAGAAAACCCCAAAAGTTTCATTAAAAAATGATCAGAATTTATAGCCAAGTTCATCAAGGTCAATATGCAAATATCAGTTATGCACAGTGGTTAACATACCACTGGGATACACATGAATGGATCTCAGAGACATTGTGCCAAGAGAAAGAAATCAGTCACAAAAGATAACAAACTGTGTGATCCTAATTATATATATGTCCAGAATAAATAAAATCCATAGAGAGTAAACAGATTAGTGGCTGCCTGGAGCTGTGATGGGAGGAAGTAACTGGTAGGTAACTGTTAGTGGGTAAGTTCTCATTCTAGGGTAGTAAAAATGTTTAATAATTACGGAAAGGGGGGCATCGTAATGCAGCAGGTTAAGTTACCATTTGGGATGCCTGCAGCCCATATTGACATCCAGTCCCACCTCTACTTCCCATCCAGTTTCCTGATAATGAGCAGCCTTGGAGGCAGCAGCAGATGGTTCAAGTACTTGGGCCACTGCCACCCATGGCGGAGACCTGGATGGAGCTCCTTGCTCCTGGCTTTGACTCAGCTCAGCCCCATCCAATATGGACATTTGGGAAGTGAACCAATGAATGATAGATTCATATTCATTCTCTCGCTCTTCTTCCCTCTTTGCTTCCTTCCTGCATCATCATTCCTTTCAAAAAATAAATAACATTAAAAAAAATTTTATAGAGGTGGACCTGGTCCAACAGCCTAGTGGCTAAAGTCCTCGCCTTGCATGCACTGGGATCCCATTTGGGCACCAGTTTATGTCCCGGCTGCTCTGCTTCCAACTCCCTGCTTGTGGGCTGGGAAAGCAGTCGGGGACGGCGCAGAGCCTTGGGACCCTGCACCCACATGGGAGACCTGGAAGAAGCTCCTGGCTTCAGATTGACTCAGCTCCAGCCGTTGCGGCCACTTGGGGAGTGAGCTAGTGCACAGAGAGCTTTTTCTCTGTTTCTCCTTCTCTCTGCATATCTGCCTTTCCAATAAAAATAAATAAATCTTTAAAAAATTATATACAGGTCATGGCTATAGAATATAAATATACTAAAGATAATTGAACTGCAGCTTTTAAGTGGGTAAACTTCATACCAAACACTTGCATTTCCCTGATGATTAGTGATACTGCACACCTTTTCATGCATGTTGATCATTTTTATGTTTTCTTTAGAAAAATGTCCAGGCCCTTTCCCATTTTTAAAATCGGCATATTTAAATTGGCATGCTTCTTGTTTTGTTTTTGTTTGTTTGCTATCAAGTAGAAGGATGACTTCCTTACCTACATTGGCCATTGTACTTGCAGTGAGCTACGTATTTGAAGGAATTTTTAAAAAGATTTATTTTAATTGGAAAGTCAGATAAACAGAGAAGAGGAGAGACAGAGAAGAAGATCTCCCATCCGATGGTTCACAGCCTAAACGGCCACGGTGGCCAGAGTTGAGCCAATGCGAAGCCAGGAACCGGGAGCTCTTCCGGGTCTCCCACACAGGTGCAGGGTCCCAAGGCTTTGGGCCGTCCTCAACTGCTTTCCCAGGCCACTGGGAAAAGTAGGGAGCTGGACGGGAAGCAGGACCACTGGGATTAGAACTGGCACCCATATGGATGCCGGAGTATTCAAGGAGAGGATGTTAGCTGGTAGGCTACTGCGCTGGGCCCTGATGAAGGAATTTTGTCCTTTTTTTGTATTGCTATATCTAAATCAGTGGTTAGAGCAGTGTTTGACCCACAGTAGGTGCTGCAAAGGCAATCTGTTCAATAAATAGATAACTGCCTATTTTCTGTAGAGCACGAAGAGAAGGGTGGGCGAGTCTATGAATTTTAGTTGCTGTGAAAAAGAAGCAATAAGGGTGAAAAAGATCACTAATATTTTCCTTATACACTACTTTTTTTCTCTTTTAACTACAAACATATAAATTCCATAATGTAAAAGAAAAATAATGTTAAAAGAAGAAAAGGAAGACACACTCTGAATGCCATCACTGCTGTCACAGGAAGAGAGATACTCCACTGTTTTAATCATATCCACTTCCTGGGAGAAAAGAGAAGGGGAGAGAGAGGACAAGGCTGTTTGTGGAGCCCAGATGGCTGGAGGCAGGACTGAGCAGGTATGGCAGGCAGTTTCTTCTCTTTACCATCAGTCATGTTTGAGCGCATACTGCTTTATCCATTCAGGAAGATGTATGAATTGAAAACTGCTCTTTTGGCTTTCAAATGCAGGTGCATTTGCCATGTGATGTCTGGAGTTATTTCCACTTTATTTTTACCAATGAGGAACCCAAAAATGGCTCTCTTCACTCACATGACTGCTCTTAGCCACTTGGGAAAAGTCATTACTGGCAGCGCTCAGTGTTCTTAGAGGATACGCACCTTTGGTGGAGAGGCTTTGGGGATGTTGACTTAGTGACTCGGTACTGGAAAAATCGAAAGTTCAAACCAAAACTCAGTCTGATGTAAGCTCCTCGATTGCTACCTTCCTCATAGTAGTTAGAAGCCGAAAATACCGTAATCACCTGATTACAGAAAAAGAAAGTCATGTTTCTGTTATAATAGTTCTCAAGAGGTCATTATCAGAAAGTTTAATTCTTAAAGTGCAAGCATCTTAAAAAGTACAGAATCTCTCAGGTTATCCAAGTCTAATGTGATTTCCTGTGATTCTACTAGAAGGAAACAAGGTTTTGACTCAGTATCTTCCAGGCATGCTAACTCCTGATCACTCACCCATGATTCCCATGCATGGCCCTGCAGTCCTGTATACAACTTTATACCAGATCTTAGAAGCCTTTCTGCTTCGTCTTGCAAATTTTGATTTTTCTAAGGGGATAGATAAATCCCCATTTTCTGCCTTGTAATATCTGAACATTCAAATATTACACATGTAATGTGGAGGACAGTAACTGTCAATGACAGGAAGCATAACTTGGGCCCAGAATTGTTCTAATGAGCATATCAATTCAGACAAGCTATTGCTATTTTCCCTTTTCTTATTACAAAGGAGCCCTAAATAACACTTACCTTATCCTTCTTGCAATGTTAATATGAGCTTAAAATGAATTAACATATTTAAGGAAAGAGAAGATTTGGCATAGAAAGAGATGCTATGCAATTTGGTATGGGTAAAATACTATTTATGTGAAATGCTTGGACCCAGAAATAATCCAGATTTCAAAGTTTTCTGGATTTTGGAATATTTGCATGGCTCTACCAACAAAGGCTCCCTAATAAAAAAAAAATCCAAAACCTGAAGTGCACCAAACCTGAAACTTTTTTTAAGCGTTATGTTGGAGGTCAAGAAATTTTGGATTTCAGATTTTCAGATTTGGGATGCTCAATCTGTATTCACTGCTGCTCACTAAAGAAAACCGGGGTGGGGGGTGGTGATGCTGGGGTGTGTTCCCAAGACAACTTGGGACAAGAGACCACTTGTTCAGTCTTCACTTCTGCTGGCCTTTTCCTACAACACTGAAGGAGCACAACACAGTCCATTTTAGTGCTGGAAGCTAAACAGATTACAGCAAGCAAGTTGCTGGAGGTGACCTCGCAAGGATTTGAAAGGAAGGTGTGTGTTGTGCTGTCTTCTCTGCAAGGACAACATGTGGAAGGCGGGAGACAGCAAACTAGACTTGCTGCCACCTTTCACATGCTCTACCTATAACCTTGGCATCACTGTTTGGTGTCACCACGCAGTCTGAGAATGAAGACTTGCCAGGTATGTTAAGTGTCACATGTCTGCATTTCTGTGTCTGGGATTAGGGAGGATCAGGGAACAACATACCACAGCATCTCTTACAGTGGGGAACAAGTAGGTCTCTCCAAACAGCCTATGTGAATTCCATAGTCTCTGACTTCCACTTGATCGTGGGGAAGACATAATCTCATGGGTTTGGCAGGTGAGACGTGCTTGACAAAGAGAAAAGCTCCTGCTTGGGGCAGGGAATCTGGGAGCACACCACAAACAGGCTTAGCTTACCTTCCCATCATGGCAGATTTCATACCCTTCAGGCTTGCATTCATGAGATCTGATGAGCATCTTCAGCTGATATTTATTAAGAACTTTGGCAGTAATGTCTGATCCAAAATAGCAGCCCCCTCCTCGACCTGTGTTTGGATAACAGCCTTTTCTGCCTCTGGGATCACTCCACAGAATATCAGTAACCTTGGAACAACAAACTGGATTAGGTTGCTTCTTACAAGTGAGAGTCTAGTTCTCTAGATTCCAGCTCAGTTGCTGGAAATATTCATCCAAGGTACACCCCAGGCTATTTTTCATTTCTCCTTCAAAATTGTTTCATCCTCATATCCACCAGAAAGCCCTTCTACAATAATTTCTTTCTGCCCATCACCAATAATTCACAATAACCAAGGCAGTGATATGTATTATAGTAAATCAGCCCTTACCCTTTTTTTGTCTTTAAAAATTCCATCACAATAGATGAATCTACATTTTTTTAAAACTCCTTCTTAAAACAGCTTCATTATCATGAGAAACTAGTTCTTTACAATGAATACACAGCAGGTGTTAATAAAGTAGGTCTTCCTGCTAGGGTTTTGACCTGGGTTTTTGTCCTCTGAGCAGGCTCTCTCCTGTCACAAATCCAAAATCTGACTATCCACCAATTTCTCCTAAAGCATCCCCACTAACCCTTTGCCCCTTTATAAATACTTTCTCAATGTGAGCACATGCAAGTGCTTTAATAGAATAACATTTGCTTTGGTGGCCAGAAGAGGCAAATTCAGATAACATGACAACCAGGCCTGAAGATCCAAGATTCCAAGAATATTTTTCATAAAAAAGTCAGAAGCTCATTTTTTTGTGCCTCTGATCAACGTACAACACTTCTTTATTTAAACTTCTATAAGCACATAAAGGGCAGTAAGTACACTATCTTTGTCACTGAGGCTGCTGACCTGGAGAAAACCCTCTGGGTCTCATTTCTGAAATGTTTAAAAGCAGGCATCTGGGCCAGCTGACCTGTCAAGCACTGGGAAGTTCTAACAGCCAAGGATGCTGAGAGTCTATATTTTCCATATCTTTCTTTGGAGGGCACCTACAGGCAGGCATCTATCTGAAGCCATGCACTTTATTCTACTGGCTCAAAATCAGGTCTTGAGAAGAACAGAAATAGTCATTCCACCAACCTAGGCCGTACACCCATCTATAGATTTGGTATTGGTGGGGGGCTAGGAATGAGAGGGAAACCAGTGAGGTGGAGAGAAAAACAGAGCTGGCAAGAAAACTATCCTGGAATGATAGCATCTCTTACAACTGGACAAAGCCTGCACCCGGCACCGCCCAGACACTTGCAAAGATTTTGATGCTTGACTGAGGTAAGAACTAAAGCCCTGGAAAGAAGAGTGACCTCAAAAGTCTCCTTTTACCACTCCCCTAAGATTCCAACATTGGTACAACACTACCTCACAAATAGATAGAATGGAATCCCTTTACTTGGTTGGCATTTATGGCAAAAATAAAACTTGTATTTTAAGGTGAGTCATTTCTGATTATTACAACCTGCATTCAGGTTTGGGGGCAAGACTGGACCTGAAGCGTATAATGAAGGAGGAAGTATTGAATAGGAGGAGTTATACTTTATTAAAATGGAATTATATTTTCAATTTTTACATGAGATACAAATCATTTACAGCCAAAATCACCCCTGTGAAACTTCTTAACTTACCCTGAAAGTACAATGTACATGATTTTATGTATATAGCCCTATGTAATAATATGCATGTTACACAGATGACAATGGCTAGTGTGTGGTAAAGAAATTTATGAAAATAAATTTTTGCATATATCTTTCTCTTTATGCAAAATTGAAATATAATGCTCCTATGGTCAGACATTTGTGAATTAGAATAAGTACTGGCCAAGGAGTTAGCTATTCATAGACACTTATGTCACTTTTGGCAAATCTCTTGGTCTATTCCTCATCAATAGTATAATCAACATATATTTAACATTCATTTTTCTTTGATTCAGAGGTATAAAGGCTAATGTTTTTTCCCATTTTATTATTATGCTTTATTATTTGATACAGCTTGCAGAGGCTTTGGGATTTTCCTTACTCCCTTTCTAAATTCCTTCCCACCCACGCTGATTTCCCCTATATAATAATATAGTTCTTCATAAAAGTCATAAGCCCATCATTGTGGGCATGAACAATGGCACAGAGTCCAGCATTTTATTGTCAAGATCTATATAACAGTTTCATTGGGAGTCCATCTTTGATCCAGAAGTAGAGATACATACTGCATTGTATTCTCACATCTGAATATGATAGTCTCCATTACACAGTTACTATACATTCCCTTAAATGAAAAGTCACAATACAAAATAAACAGGAAAAAAATAGAAATTTACAATGCCATGAAGTTAAATAATATGCTACTGAATGACTAACGTGTTGCTAAAGAAATGAAAAGAAAATCAAGAACATTCTTGAAGAAAATGATGCTACTGTATGATATATGAGTCAGTGAAGAATTTAACATGAAAGGGAAAAAAACTGTTTTTGAAGAAATGAAAATAAAAACAAAAACATCAAAATCCGTGAGATATAGTTTTTGCTGAACTTTATTGGTGAGATGTGCCTCCTTTTGGCAACAAATAGATGGGTTTCCTTTTCTAATCCAGTTGACTAATCTATGACATTTGATTGATGAATTTAAGCCATTTACATTCAGGGTTAATATGAATGGATGGTCATTTGGTCCTGTCATTTTAGCAATGGGTTGATCATTGATTTAGTCTTCTTTTGTTGTTTTACTGGGATGTTCTTCACATTTGCCTTTGGTTTTGGTGTGTGCTATTCCTCTTCTCTGTCAAGAGAACATTTTTAAGTATCATTTGTAAGGCAGGTCTGGAAGAGGCATATTCTTTTAACTTTTCTTTACTGTGGAAGAATTTTATTTCATTGCCAAATACAAAGGAAAGCTTTGCAGGATAGTTATTCTGGGCCAACAATTGTTTGCTTTTAGAATCTGGAATATGTCACTCCATTCTCATCTGGCCTGTAGAGTTTCCTGTGAGAGGTCAGCTGTGAGTCTGATTGTCATTCCTCTATAGGTCAATTGATTATTTTCACAAGCACATTTAAGGATCTTTTACTTATGTTTGATTGAAGAGAGCTTGATCACCATGTGTCATGGTGAAGATCACTTCTGGTCAATCCTGTTGGGAGTTCTGTGCCCCTCCTGGATGTTGTTTCCCAATTCTTTCTCCAGACTAGGAAAGTTTTCCTTTATTATTTCATTAAATACATTTTTAAATCCATCTTTTTTTCCCTGCACTTTCTGGAACTCCCATAACTCTGATATTTGACCTCTTTATTCTTGAATACTGTTTTTTAGCTTGACTTAGCTCTGGTATCAGCTTTTTGATTGTTTCTCCATTGTGGCAAGAAATATCTTCCAATACCGAGATTCTTTCTTCTGCCTCATTCACTTTATTATTGAGACTTTCTACAGAATTTCAGGTTTGCTCTATTGTAAACTTTCTTTCCAATAATTTGTCTTGATTTTGTTTCAGTGTTGCTATTTCCTGTGTGATAATTCCTTAAATTCCTTGAACTCCTGTATGTGCTTCTTGTTGTTGATAAGGAGCTTTATAATCAGTTTTCTGAATTCTGTATCCTCCATTTCCTTCATGTATTCCTCAATTAACTGTGAGGTTGGCAAAGGCTTTTGCTCCTTTGCAGGGGAGTCTTCAGTAACATTCATTGTGCCCTGTCTCTTGTTTTGCTCTTGGTCATTGTACTGGTTAGCAGATTCTTCTCCTTAGGTCAAGTTTCTAAGCTGCGTTACTCAGAGGTCTACAATTAAATTTTACTTATTGTGGTTAGTACCAGGTTCTTCATTTGCAGTCACTTGTGCTATTCCCTCAAGCAAGTTTCAGGTCTAGGCTCTTGTGTAAGATTTCCACCATGGTCTCCATAGCTCCAGTTTTTGGTTCACCACTCTCTATCTTCTGTGAGCCCATACTGAGGCTATATCATTGTCTGTACAACCTTTCACCCACTTTCAAGCAGTTCCCAGGATTATGGTGACACCATGGTGGTGCTGATCTTGCTGAAAAATGCTGGCCATTAGATTGGAGGGCCACCCGGACCTATTTTGACCCACAGGATGCCTAAGTCAGTTTTATTTTCCCTGTGGGACCAGTGCAATGCACTGAGCTGGAACTGAGTTTGTTCTGAGCTCAGTGCATGTGCAGCTCACTGTTGTCTGTATAATCTCAAAACCTTTGTCACATTGTACAAAATGGTGCCTGATGTCCACTGGTGGAGATCTGGATATGCTGGGGGCTATCCGACCTATTTTGGGTGGAACCTGTAGAATGCCACATTGGTGCAATACATTGTGCCAGAAATGAGTTCACTCCCAGCTTAGTTTATGCACAGTCCCATCCCAAAGACTTCCTTTGCCTCCCTACACAAAATGGCACCCAATGCAGCACTTGTAGGGGGTCTGGACTATGACATCTACCCTGTTCCCGCACAGCCTATTTGGGATCTGTTGTTTTCTCTCTCCTCCTGATCGAATTAAGCAAATCAGCAGGATGGGCAGTTCTTTGCTTGGATTTACCTCCTGAGCTCCCAATGAACTTCCCTTCCCACCTGGCTGCTGGTGGAAGCGGCAGCTGCTGGTGGAGCTCAGATTGCTGCTTGCTGACTGCCACACAGAATCTGGTCACTGAAACATCACACCATTGTCTCTACTGCTTTCTCACGTCCATCAGTCTCCAGGTGCCCCTCTGTTGTCGGTTTGTCTTCTATTTTCTGAAATATGCCCTCTGCTTTACCCTGGCTAATGATTCTGTGTTTGCTTAAACATGTCTCTACCCTATTCCACCATCTTGATTCTCCAAGGGTAATGGATTTTTTAAGAAGTGAGCTTTCCTTTTAGAATCAATTCCATGAGTTCTGCATTTCATTTTCCTGTTTAGGCAAACCCAGTAAAGTGAATGATTTGTAACTTGTTATAGCATAGATTTGATCCTGGAGCTCACAAGCAAAATAAATCTATAAAAAAGGGACCCTCTGTTGGAGAAACCAATCCCATAGTATAAAATATCTGCTCCCTTTCCAAACCACCATATCCTGTGAAATACAGAAGCATTTGGGTGGCAATTGCATGAAAGATGAATTATCTACC